CTCTTCTCCAGTTTGTTAATGAAGTAACCCGCACTGTATCTGAGAATTCACTTGATCTTCTTCTTGCGTCAAATCCAACACTGGTGTCCGATGTCTGTGTCCATCCAGGAATATCGGACCATAACATCGTTGCTTTTTCGATCTCGGGGAATCCAAGAACTTGCCGCATTCCGCCAAGAAAAATCTACCAATTCCACAAAGCTGATCTTCAGAAACTCCGCAAGGCTGTTGCAAAATTCTCAATGGATTTTCTATCATCTTCACCAGAGCTGAAGTCAGTTGATGAAAACTGGACCTGTATCACATCACTCATCAACAAGTGCAAGGATGAATTCATCCCATCCAAGATGTCAAGAGCCAGACGCAACTTGCCATGGATCACCGTTTCCCTCAAAAGGCAAATGAGGAAGCGGGATCGTTTGTTCAAGAAGGCACGAAGTCAGCCTAGTGCATCCAATTGGAAGGCCTACAGGCAGCTTCGAAACGAACTGACCAAACGTGTCCGCCAAGCTCATCACAATTACGTCTGCAACATAATAGGTGAGAGCCTATATGCGAACCCCAAGGCTTTCTGGTCATATGTAAAATAGCGTAGATCTGAAAACTTTGGTATACCACCCTTGAGAAATGATAACAAGCTCCATATCACAAACAAGGACAAGGCTGAATGTTTGAATAATTACTTTCATTCTACCTTCACCAAGAGCAACGTGGATCAAGTTTGCATAAACCGGCCCTCCCTATACAATGACATAGGACATCTCCACATCCACCGGTCTGGTGTAGTTAAGCAACTGCTTCAACTGAATCCATCCAAAGCCAGTGGCCCAGATGAGATACATCCAAGAATTCTGAAGATGCTAGCACACGAAATAGCCCCTGCATTGTAATTTCTGTTTCAACAGAGTTACAATACCGGAGAAGTGCCTTCAGACTGGAAACGTGCACTTGTAGCCCCTATTTATAAGGCAGGAGATAAATGTTGCCCAGGTAACTACAGACCTATATCGCTGACGTGTATCTGCAGTAAGGTGATGGAACATATTATGCTTAGCCAAATTTCTAAACATCTTGCAGCTAACAACATACTCATTGATGAACAGCATGGTTTCAGACAGAATCTTTCGACAACAACACAACTTGTCACAGCTACCGATGATTGGTCATCCTCTCTTCAATCTAGAGGCCAAACTGATACCATCTTTCTCGACTTCCAAAAAGCGTTTGATCGCGTACCACATCAACACCTTAGATCCAAACTACATTACTACGGAATCAGGGGAGACTCTCTCCGCTGGACTATGTCACTCCTAGCGAATAGACATCAAGCTGTCGTCGTCAATGGTGCTCGCTCAGCATGGATGCCTGTTACTTCAGGAGTACCGTAGGGTTCTGTCATCGGCCCCGTACTTTTCCTGCTGTACATCAATGTCATCAAACTCAACATCAAGTCCACAATGCGTCTATTTGCAGATGACAGTGTCATCTATCGGCGTATCGACTCTCCCTCTGACACTCATATACTGCAAGAAGATCTCCATGTTCTTGCAGACTGGTCCACTAAATGGCTGATGGGATTCAACATCAAGAAGTGTGCTACATTGTCAATCACAAACAAGAAGCACCCCGTCACAGTGGACTACACCCTACTAAATGAGTCAATTCCTCGAGTAAAACAATACAAGTATCTTGGTGTCACGATTACCCATGACCTTAAATGGAACACCCAATGTAAACTCGTCACCCAGAAAGGCAATAGAACCCTTGGCCTCCTACGCAGAACTCTATCACCGTGCACCAAGAACATCAAATCCAAAGCCTACACAATGCTTGTTCGTCCTCAACTTGAGTATGGCAGTGAAGCTTGGAACCCTCGGACTCTGACATCAATACAAAGTCTTTAGAAAGTACAGCGAGCTGCCGCCCGTTTTGTATACCAAGACTACCGGAGAATAACATCAGTCACAGCACTTGTCAACAAACTGGGATGGGATACCCTTCACAACCGCAGGCTTCTTGCACAGTCCACTTTGTTTTACAAGATGCACCATCATCAACTCAACATGCCTTTTCCCACTCACATTATCCCAGCTACATATCTGGGCAGAAATGATCACCCTCTGAAGTATGCAGTACCCCCAGCTTCCATTGATAGCTTTAAGTACTCCTTCTATCCTCGCACCATCTGGACGTGGAACCACCTATCAGCTGCTGCAGTAACATCTCCAACAGTGACCATCTTCCAGGAGGCTGCTCTACCTATCATCAGAGCGTTGCCTCCTCCTGTTGGGTCCAAGCTACTGTAGACTCCACGTCTCGGTTTTTACTTGCACGTCCACCGTTTTATTGTAAATAATAGACATCATTCACTGTTTTGAATTACTTCATGCACTGTCACTATGCCAGCACGTTGCACGGACATCCCAGTTTAGCTGTATGATAGCTGCCATCGGGATTATCTCTACAAGTAACAAGTAACAAGTACAAGTAAACTCCTAGAAGGGACCCAGTTGGAATGTTCATATATCCCTGTATTCCTAACACAGTGTATATTCTCCTTTTGGTCATATCCTTTTTCACATCTTGCATTGGTTTTATATAGGGTTGTCCCGTACGTCACACACTTGTCCTGTACGTCACATTTCTTAATTTGATTATGTAATCAACACAGAATTTTTGGAATTTTTGTTAAACCTATTTTTTGTTAGGTATTCATCTAAATTAGAACTTCCTAGAATATCTTTTAAAAAAAATTATTTTCATGATTAAAATTAATGATCAAATTGTGACGTACGGGAAATCACACTTTGGAACCTACCTCATTTGCATAATTAATTAATTTTGAAAGTTTTTATATTTTTTTCCTATTTTCTTGCATGATGGTCTACATGTCCCGGGATATTTAATTTTAAACAAATAATTCAAATGAGATACATAAAATAAAAATGTAATGTCCCGTACGTCACGCTAATTAATACAAATCGAAGTTCGTGACCTTGGCATTCTTCGTATTATGATTAAATGTTTAATTTTTTCATCAGATTCATAAAATTCATAGTTTCAGCTTTAAAATGATGTACAGTTTGTTAAATATATATAAAGATTAAATTTGACCCCCAGAGGGGACAATTGCTTGGACCTGCCCTAAAACATATAGGCCAACATAAACAATTTAGTTTCATGTACCACCTATGACTGCTGGCAAGGACAATTTTGGCATCGAGATGATTATCATATGACACACACTAAACACATTTACTAGTAACTTTATTCCATTTCTGTGAGATCGGAGTCGTCAAAGGAGTACACATCCTGGCTTATGGTCTGTGCATCGCCCATGTTTGGTGTAATGCCTCTGGGTGTCTGCTCTCCTCCATAAATGATGCGCACCTGTCGCCCCATTGAAGATGCCGTGTCACTGAGCTCTGTAATGAGGTTTAAGAGTAAGAAGCACATTGCATCAATAAATGGCAACTTTCTTATTCCATAATATAAATTATATAAATGTATGAGTGTTAAAATTGAAGGGAGTGTTAGGTCGGGACAAACAACTCACATTGGCCCTTCCACAACTCTCATTTACATTAATATATAAAGAAAATCAAGACGATTTGGTTACCTTTGATCCGTTTATTACTCTCAACTCGAGCAACACTTTGGAATTCGCATATCAATCAACATCTCATTTACATATTCGTAACAGGAGTAACAAAGAATAACAATATTTGGCCATCAGAGGGTTGCAACCGATATTCATGAAATACTTGGTTTTTAGCAGATGTGTGCTTTGGGTTCGTATGGGTCCATTTGGGTCTGTCTATAATCATATTGCATCTATATTGTGTCTATTTATATTGTATATGTATGCCGGTATTCACTTTGGGTCATTCGCTTGCAGTATCTTTATCTATTCATGATTGTTGTTTGACTACTTTCAGACAAATTAATTAATGAATAAAATTATCGGATATATTTTTTTGAACATCAAGTTTAAAGTATGCATTGCTGTAGAAAATACGACTTGACACCTTGCATCCACTTATATTGCATTACCTGTATCCTTTTCTTTTCTTCCCACAAACATACCGTTATTTTATAAAATAGAATGTACATTATTCAATGTTTTAGGGTTGTTAGCAAACCAGCTAATATATTAGGATTAGCATACAAATGCCTACCAAGCATCTGTAAGGTATTACAGCCAAGGAAATTAGTACCACCAGAGAACATCTAATAGTTATTGCAGATTTCATCTACTGTTTTACATTTGCTTTTCTGCATGCAACAGTATTTTCCTTAATCCCTTTTGTTCCACTAATTTTTGAACAATTGTCATAAACAAAACAAGCTTTAAAATGTTAAAATTCTTACTTAACATGCGTCTTTGAGTTTAAAATATATTTCATTTGAATAAGCTTCATCATAAAAGTACCTATTTCTGTTTCAGTAAGAAAGTCATAACCATTCTAAGCCCAAACATATTGGTCAATTTGAATTCTTAGACTGAATTTGCCGCCCGCAGCAGTCAAAGGGTTAACTTTGAAAAGGGAATTCAACCAGTCTTTTTCCAGTGGCAACTTTAAACTTTTGCCTTTTGTTAAATCATAAATGGAATTGCTCCAATTCGGACCAATAAGTTGAAAGAAGATATGGTCATTGAAAAGGGGAAAACGATCAGTTTAGGAATCCCAAAACGAAACCCTTACTTTAAGGTATATGTCCAATTCTAGTTGTGTGGAGTTTCAAATTTATAGTACCTGATTGTTCCCTTCAAATAATATTAGAAATCTAACTAGATTTTTGTTTGAACTCTTTCTGATACTAGACAGTAAAGGGTGATAAAAACTATGATGAGAGCAACCAGTGGTTCACTGGTTGCTCTCACCATTAGTCTCTCAAATGTGATCTTTAGATAATATTTTTTCCTCCAATAATAAACTATTGCGAAAGGTATATTCTGTAGATTTGTGCCCATGATTTATACGTCCCTTGAAAGACCAATGCCGGTAAATAGTGAGAGCAAACAGTGGCAGGAACGGCCTGCAATAGCTAAGTCTCAGTTTGTTATGCTGGGTTCCAAGCAGCAACTCGCCAAGTCGGTAACCCCCTATCTGAATATTGGTTCGTCATCAATTACTCCAGTGAAGAAAGTTCGAAATCTTGGAGTTATTTTTGACTCCAATATGACCATGGAGTCACAAGTATCATCAAGTGTTAAACTTGCGATCCACAGTCTCCGCAATCTTCGTGCTATTCGCAAGTATCTCACCACAAAGGCGGCTGAGCAGCTTGTGCATGCATTTGTTACATCCCGCATCGATTGTTGTAACTCTTTACTCTATGGCATCCCTATGTCTCAAGTTAAGAGGCTCCAGGTTGTTCAGAATGCTGCTGCCCGTCTCGTGACATATACACGCAAGTTCGCCCACATCACTCCAGTCCTTAAATCCCTGCATTGGCTTCCTGTTGAACATCGTCTCACCTACAAAATCCTTCTGATCACATACCGTGCCTTGAAGTTCTCCTCGCCACAGTACATCTCTTCTCTACTTAACTTTCGCAAGCCTGGTCGTTCTGGTCTGCGTTCTGCCAATACATCAACTCTGATCATCCCTAAGACCAGACGATCATGGGGAGATCGAGCATTTGCCTCAGCAGCTCCCCGATTGTGGAACAGTCTCCCTAACACACTTAAGGACTGTAAATCAGTAGATAGTTTCAAGGCCAGCCTGAAAACTTATCTAATGGGCAACTTTAACTAATATCATCTTCTTCCTTTTTTATGTGTAATGTGTAATGTATTGTAAGTAAAATTGTATTTAAGTATATTATGTAGCTCGATCATTGTAAGCGCCCTGAGCACCCTCTGGGTGGATATGTCGCGCTATAAAAATGTCTTTATTATTATTATTATTATTATTAAGTCAAACTTAAAGTCGGTCTTAGGCTTTGTGAAACACCCCCAGGTGTGTAGTGAGATATGTACAGTTTGAGGAAATTTTATTCATGAGTGTAGCGGAGATGTTTGTTATTCTTATTGGTTTGTTGATGCGAGAGATAAAAGTGTGTGAGTACATGGAGTCCGAAAAGTCTGGACAGAGCTGGTTTGTATCTGCTTTGGGCAGGTTTTATTATTGAAGCAAGGTTTATTTCTCAAATTATTTTAGGATAAAACATGTAATGTGCAATGCTACGCCAATTACACCGGGCTTATCTATTCTATTGCTGTACACAGGCGCGTTGTTTTGGACCCCCCCCCCCCCTTTATTTGATTTTTTAATAAACAAAACAAAAAATATGTTTAAAAAATTGTGGTAATGGGTGACCTAAAAAGCTGACCTAACCCCCCCCCCCCCCCCCCCCCCCCCCCCCCCCCCCCCCCCCCCCCCCCCCCCAACGAAACCAAAATCGATCGGCCAGATTTTCAAATTTTGAGACCAAAAAAATCAAATAAAAAAAGGCCTCTTTGTCCGCGTAAGAGCGTTGGGACAACTAATAGTATAATTTAAATATTTAAGCCGACTAGGAAGCCCCGTCTGAACACCGGTTGCTACTACGATTGGTCTCTCAATTATGATCTTTAGATAATATTCTTTTCCTTCAATAATTAATTATCAAAAAATGTAAATCTGTAGATTTGTGACCATGATTTGTACGTCCCTTGAGATATCAATGCCAGTAAATGGTGAGAGCAAACAGTGTCATGAACAGCCTGCCATAGTTAATGCTAACTTAAAGTTGATCTTAGTCTTTGTGAAACACCTCAGGTACCATAGTTCATTTATTATTAATACTATGTTCATGAATAACCCGTCACAAGGTCCCCAGGAAAGAAACCTCCGTAAATGTTAATATATTAGTAAACCGGTATATTGGGTTACTAGGGTGAAGGATCTGAGTGGATTGGATTGGTCTGAGTTTAGCATTACGATTAAGTAAAAGTCCATAGTCTTCATAGACGACGAAACATCAGTACGTACCAGGCGCGGATCCACGGGCTCAATTCTTCCGGCCCGGCTATGGCAAGCCCTTTGTGTAAAAACTAGATAAACTCTTTTTTTCTCAGATAAACTCAGTTTATCAACAGATAAACACAGTTTATCAGAAAAACTCAGTTTATCAGTTGATAAACTCAGTTTATCAGTTGGTAAACTCAGTTTATCAAGAAAAACTCAGTTTATCAATGATAAACTCAGTTTATCAACAGATAAACAGAGTTTATCAGATAAACAGAGTTTATCGGTTCATAAACTCAGTTTATCAGAAAAACTCAGTTTATCAGTTGATAAACTGAGTTTATCATTGATAAACACAGTTTTTCTGATAAACTGAGTTTATCTAGTTTTTACACAATGGGCTTGCCATAGCCGGACCGGTAGAATTGGGCCCGTGGATCCGCGCCTGGTACGTACCCAGGTCTTTCTCCCTTTTCAGGTTGTTTTATCAACTCACATTTTGTTCTTTAATAATTTCTTATCATTAAACTTCGCCTCATTCTTTCTCGACCCCCTTCCATGTGCCCCCAGACATACTCCAGGGACAACTGCTGTGAGCCCCGTAACACAAACAGCAAGTGATCGTAAACTTGATGTTTACGATTTTATGGGTAAGCTTCGGGTTACGGGGCCCCGGCTTTATTTGGTCAGAGATACAGGTTTATTATTTTTAGATGAAGTCAGGGTAAGCATCGCAAGGGTTAATGAAAGATATTGTTTTAGTCCAGAATTTATGGGTTTGAAAAGGATGGGTCGTACGAACCACTCTCCCTTTCATTGTTCTTGCATGGTGACATTATACAGCTCATGACAATTGTATAATATATATTATATATAACATCGGTGAATGCTTTCTGACTTGTCTACAGATGCAACTTATATCCATGTCAATGTAAAAACACGCGATATTTTGTGGCTAGGGGAAAGTGGATACCAAACGCATATCGAGAAAGCTTCATTGGACGCTGTGTGTGGATAGACGCTAAAAAAAACTTTCGCTCGTAGCTTTTCAACAAAATCGCTAAAATTTTGCCTTTTTAAACTGCCATCCTGCTTTTTAACCAAGCAATATATGCTCTTTTAATATTAAAAACATAAGTTGTGTGATTATTTCGAATTTTAGACTTATATTTTGGAAGGATTTTTACCTGCAATTTGTAGCCAGCATCGCGCTCGCGAGTCACAGTGGATCACCTACGCGATACTACGGTGCAATAGCGTATACTACGGAGATCTACTCTACCACCGCAACCTTTTCTACGAGACATTTCGACATTATATCTACATGTGCAAGCTTCAATGATATGGATTTTATGATAGCGTTTTTTATCTGGAGTGCAATAAATCGTTTAGACTGATTATCTGCAGTTTTGTAATCGTATTCGCTTGAGTTTATTTGTGTAGTTTTAACTTTTTAAATTTTCGCGGACTCCGCCATCTTGGATTTCTGCCGCCATTTTGTATTGCTTACGTGTACGTCATGGGGACCGAACGACGCCGCTTCAACCTCAACAAGGCCGTGCTCATCTTTGTGACTGCCAAGTTATTGATAGGTCTGACAGATATTCATGCTGGGGAGAAGGGATTACAGACTGTAAGTAGACCTAAATTGACAATCATTAGCCACCATGCTGTATGCAATTATGCCTTCTGCATGCCGAGAAGGGATACCACTGCATTAGCAGCAAGATATGTATTTGATCCTATTTGGAACTCGAGATTATCAAACAGAAATAAATTCCTGGATCGTGTTGTTACCATGTATAACCAGACTAGTCAAAGAGATCTAAGCTGTTCCCAACCTAGAACTATTATTTTGGGGTTAATCATGTGTGCTGGGGATGTACAACCCAACCCTGGACCAGCTCGACCTTCCAACAGAAAGAAGAGCTCAGCGAAGGCTTGCAGCTCTTGCAGTAAACTTGTGATCGGCAAGAACAAACTTACATGCTCTGATTGCCAACTATTATTCCATCCTAGTTGTGTTGGAGTCAAACAAAAGCAATTATCGAACTTGAGAGCCAACTCTGCACAGTGGTATTGCTCTGATTGTTGCGCCCCGCGTAGTATGTGCGATGGAAATGTATTAAGGGATCACCACGCAGTCCAGTGCGATAGCTGCGATAAATGGTTACACACAGCCTGCTGTGATATAGATTACCAGTTGTACATATCACTTATGACCAACAATTGTACGTGGGTTTGCCCACTCTGCAGTGAACTAAACTTTTCAGACTCATTCTTCAGCGAAGGTGAAATCTCAACTGAAAACCCTTTTGATGCTCTTGATACTGATGCTGATGCTGATGTCTGCTCCCAGCCGGCAAGCCAGAAGGATGTGGGTGCATCGCAGCCCAAGCCCAACAGTAAAAGAAATAAGAGACATAATAAAGAGAATAGAAAGTGTAATGCCAAGAAGAGAGACAAAGTTAAATTGATATTGACTAATTGCCAGAGTGTAAGATCCAAAGCTGGTGATATCGAAGTGCTCATCGACTCCGTTAAACCAGACTTCATCTGTGGAACAGAATTGTGGCTAGACCCAGAGGTTAATAACAGTGAAATCTTCCCAGACAACCACTCTATCTTCAGGAAAGATCGTGAACAGCTAAAGACTGGAGGTGGAGTCTTCCAAGCAGTGAAGGGGGATTTGATTACAACGCACTGCAGTGAACTTAACTCTGATTGTGAAATATTATGGACTGAAACAAAAATAAAGGGGTGTAGACCCTTGCTTGTGGGAGTCTTCTACCGTCCACCGAATGACAGCAATGGTGAAGCAATCGACCACCTGGCGCAATCCTTTACAAGGTTAGGAAATAAGATCAATTCTCACAATGTCATCCTCACAGGGGATTTTAATCTACCCAACATCTCGTGGGATGATCATGTTGTCTCCAGCAGGAGTGGATACAGCACCAGAGCAGCTGATAAGCTTGTCACTCTAGTGGAAGAATTGGGACTTACTCAGCATGTCACCCAACCTACAAGAATTCAGGGAAACACAGAAAACATCTTGGACTTGATCTTCTCCAATAACCCTGAAATAGTGGACAAGATATAGTGGACAAGGAAGCGTCCGATAAGAAGGAAAATCTACCTCAGGGGTAAAGCAGATACTCAGGGTATCAAGGAGACACTTCAAGACTTTTCAGATACTTATTTCCAAACGAACCAAGACAAAAGTGTAGAGGACAAATGGGAACAAATTAGAAGTGCAATACTACACACAATGGAAAAACATGTCCCGCACAAGTTTTCCACTAGCCGATTTAACTCACCATGGTTCAATAGATCACTACGTCGTACGATTAAGAAGAAACAGAGATTATACAACAAGGCAGTTAGGACAGGAAAGCCGGATGACTGGGAATCGTTCAAGGCCTTTAGGAAAAGCACACACAAGCTCATTAAAGAAGCCCGTTCTTTATATGTTAGGGACACTCTTGAATCGGCAAGTTTTGGTCTTACATTAAGCAACTGAAACAAGAAAACTCGGGAGTAGCAGATCTCCAGCAAGGGGAGAAGACTGTAAGCAACGACACAGACAAGGCAAACGTTTTGAATGAACAATTCCGGAGCGTTTTCACCAACGAGCCTCCTGGATTAGCACAGTCCCTTGGCAACAGCCCTTACCAGAAGATTGGACATCTCAACATTACTAGGAAAGGGGTCGAAAAGCTGCTCAGCACGCTGAAGACCAACAAAGCACAAGGGCCGGACGGCATTCCACCGTGGTTCCTGAAGATCGGAGCTGAGCAGCTATCTGCACCTTTGCAAGACCTGTTCCAATCTTCCATCAACACTGGAATAGTACCGCAAGAATGGAGAGACGCCAACGTAGCCGCCATCTTCAAGAAGGGGAGCAGGAAGAGTGCTGCAAACTACAGACCTGTCTCGTTGACATCAGTATTGAGTAAAGTCATGGAACACATCATACATAGCCACGTAATGAAACACCTAGAAAATCAACATATCCTATCAGACTTCCAACATGGGTTTCGTGCTAAAAGATCTACTGAAACGCAGCTAATTCTCACAATCAATGATATTAGCCAAGAACTGGATAGAAATAAGTTAGTCGACATGGCAGTGCTTGATTTTACAAAAGCTTTCGACAAGGTCCCTCATCGTCGCCTAATCTCTAAACTACAATATTATGGTCTTGAGGGAGAAATCACTTCTTGGGTGAGAAGTTTTCTGATGGGCCGCACACAACGAGTTGTCATCAATGGTCATTCATCTCTACCTGCATCTGTTACATCTGGCGTACCGCAGGGTACAGTGACCGGCCCACTATGGTTCTTGTTGTACATTAACGATCTACCAAACAACATGGCCTGCACAACCAGATTGTTCGCAGACGACTGTTTGCTGTATACAGCCGTATCAGCTGATCAAGATACCAGCGTACTGCAGAAAGATCTTAGACAACTGGAAAGCTGGCAAGACACATGGCTGATGAACTTCAACCCAACCAAGTGCTGTACCATGACCATTGGTAAGAGAAACCCCCCTCATCACAAGTATAACTTTTGTAACCATAGTCTCGAGAGTGTGTCTTCTCATCCATACCTGGGTGTTCACATATCGAATACATTGAGCTGGAATACTCATACTCAGGCAGCTACCAAGAAAGCCCAGAGAATACAGAATGTAGTCCGCAGGAACTTGTGGAGTTGCAACAAGAAGGTGAAATCAACTGCGTACCTGGCGTTAGTAAGACCGCTTCTCGAGTATGCATCGTCAGCTTGGGATCCCTCTACCAAGCAGAATATCAAGTCCCTAGAACGTGTCCAACGACAAGCAGCCAGATTCTGTATTAGCAACTACAGTAGAGAAGAAGGCACAGTCACCAAGGCGCTAAAAGACCTAGGATGGGAATCGCTTCAAACTAGAAGGAGAAACCAGAGACTCAGCATGTTATACAAAATGAAGAATGGACTGGTCGACATTCCTTTGTATGACTATGTACAACTGAATCCCAGAGAAACCAGGGGGAACAACCAGAAGTTTCTACAACTTCGCCACAAAGCTAGAGCCTACCAGGACTCCTTTTTTGTGTCAACCATCAAGGACTGGAATAATCTCCCAACCTCCATAGTAAACAGCCCATCATTAACCACTTTTAAGAACAATTTACTTAAACATTCCCAATAATTTGATTAGAGTCAACCCACACACAGCGTGCTCTGTCTACAAATACGTTAGCGTGGATGTGTCTGGAAAGGACATTTTGCTGACCAAATCATACAGATACAGATACGACACATCGCCCTCTTTCGCCGTTATTGACCAATCTGACAGCTGGAAATGTTTTGTTTAGGATATTAAAACTAATTGAGTATGACTTTGTATCCGGGCTTTTTAGTAGATGCCATGTTAATTTTTTGAAAAAGAACGACCATATCCAGGTTGTCTTGAACATTATGAACTCATTTTGCATATATACTCCATATCACTCATCGCTGTAATGTCTTGAAAACCGCGACTTTGGTTTATGCAAGGAGCTGGAATTCTAACCCCTAGGTTGATATAATACTGGTAAAGGTTTTCATTGCAACAATGTTTGCTGGCTCCTTGCTAGAATGCTCCAATTTTTTTCCATTCTGGACTATTTCTTCGTTTATGGAGTGTAAAAAAAATACAGAAAATGCTATTTAATCCTTTTTTTTGTATATTTAGTCTTTGTTTAACCATGAGTCACAAATCTCTGTCATTAATTGAAAGAAACAAAAGGTAATTGTTCCTTTTTAATTCCTATCTTGTGCAAGAACACAATGTATTTCTCTCAACCTCTCTTCATGACCATGAATTCACTCTCTTTTCATGTACCTCATCTTAAAACACAAAGCGATTAAAACAAACCAGAAAATTGTATTCATTATGCACTCAATGGTTTAAGCGTTATATCAACCTAAAGGCCCGGTCCCACTGCACTTACGGATGCAAAGAGGATGTAAAACGTAAACAAATCTTGCCATCCGTTGGAAAACGCTATACATCCGTTGTGTACTCATTGCATACGTGTTTCATACGCTCTATTCATCGAGCATCCGTCCACTGGGATTTCATCCGCGCAAAAGGTTTTGAGCTGCCCAAAACTTTTAGAACGGATGAACTTCCGCCGTGTACGATGTAAATCCGCGACAAATACGAGCAACAAACGTTCTGGCCCAAATTCACAATGGAGGTTTGTCGACAAACCTTGGTTTTCGTACGTCATATGACGCGTTTTGCGCGTTTTTTACAAACCTGGTTTGTAAAGAACAAAAGGAGGTTTGAGCTCAAACCTTGCTTTGTGAATTCGGGCCAATATGTCCGTTATCGTCCGTTATACGTCCGCTATATCCTCTCTGCATCCTCTGGTCATCCTAGCAACTCACATCCGCTGCAGCTGAAAACGGAAAGAGGGAGGAAAGATAAGGTACATGGGTGGGGGGGGGGGGGTTAGGGGGGTTTATACACATAAAAATACCAAAGGGGGGGGGGTAACCTCCCGAACCCCCCCCCCCTAAACTACAATACCAAGAGAGGCAGCCATATAGGATGGTACTCTCAACGACTGCGGTGTAGAAGAGTTTTAGAATGGTCTTATGGACATGGAAGGATGTGAGTTTTCTCAGGAAGTGCAGTCTTACATAACCTTTTGTCAGGACATGTTTGCTCTGTTCTACCCAATTCAGCTTCTCATCAATTACTACACCCAGATATTTGTATTTCGGAACAATTTCAATGACTGAATTTTGGAGGATAACTGGATTTATACTGGCTTTTTCCTATGATCGAATACAATTTCATTTGTTTTCTCTTCATTGAGTATTAGAAAGTTAGAGTCGCACCACTGTACAAAATAGTTCAATGCTCTCCTATATTCCGTTTCGTCATTCTTCGTGATGAGACCAATGATGACCGTGTCATCGGCGTATTTACGAATACTTGTATTTACACCATTAATGAAAACGGATGGAGCCATCCCCGAAATTTTGCTCGTTCGCTGTGTCCTTTATGCATACGTTTTGTGTCCATCGGCCATTGGGACCGGGCCATAAAGGACACCAAATGGTATTAGCGTTATACAAACCTCAAAGAGTACTAAATGGTATAAGCGTTATACCAAGCTACATGGCACCAAATGGTATAAGCGTTATACCAACCTACAGAGCACTAAATGGTATAAGCGTTATACCAAGCTACATGGCACTAAATGGTATAAGTGTTATATCAACCTACAGAGCACCAAATGGTATAAACGTTATACCAACCTACAGAGCACTAAATGGTATAAGCGTTATACCAAGCTACATGGCACTAAATGGTATAATCGTTATACCAAAGAATAGATATAATTTATGAATTTCAATCTGGTTTTCGACATGATTATTCGACTGAAACATGTCTAATTCATTTGACTGATTATTTGAGGAGAGAAACTTCCCAAGGGCGCTTTGTTGGTATGGTGCTCCTTGATCTGCAAAAAGCTTTTGATACAGTTAATCATTGCGTCTTATTGAAGAAGTTACAACTAATGGGTTTTGATAAGGCAAGTTTAGATTGGTTTAGATCCTACTTATCTAATCGGCACCAAGTAGTGGCCATTCATGATATTCGTTCCAAACTAATGCCTATAACTTGCGGTGTTCCTCAGGGAAGCATTTTAGGCCCAATTCTATTTTCAAGTTATATAAATGATATGTGTATTTGTATAAAAGACTTCAAACTATTATTGTACGCAGATGACAGCGTACTACTTTATTCAAATCCTGATCCTTAATATATTGAGGAAAAGCTCAGTGAACAGCAGTCTACGTGTGTCGATTGGATGACTGATAATAAGCTTTCTTTACACTTGGGAAAAACAGAAAGCATTTTATTTTGTTCTAAAAGTAGTCCTAAAAAGTCATTTGAATTCAAAGTGACACACAATAATCAAGCAATCAAGAGAAAAGAGTCTGTGAAGTATTTAGGCATTGAGTTGGCTAGCGCAATTTCATTTTCATCTTTAGTAGAATCAGTTGTAAAAAAAGCAAATTCTCGTCTGAAATTTTTGTACAGATATCAAAGTTGTATGGATTTAAAAGCAAGACGTACACTCTGTTTTGCTCTTATTCAATGTTTATTTGACTATGCTAACCCTGCATGGTATAGTAACATAAACAAGTCAGATCAAAAGAAGTTGAAGATTATACAGAACAAAATGGTGAGATTTATCAACTGTTCTGGTCCAAGAACTCATGTTGGCTACAGCGAACTTTCTAAAGCTGGTTTTCTTGAAGTCGACCAAAGATCAAAACAACTCGTATTGCATCATGTCCATAAAATATATCATACTAGGTCGAATCATTATATTCGATCCAACTTCGATCTTGTTACTGACGTAGATGATTATAATACAAGAAATAGACGATTCAACTTTAACTTACCTGAAAGAGTAGGTAGTATTGGAAATTCGTTTTATTACAATGCCATAAAACATTGGAATTCCCTTCCCAATGGTGTAAAAGAAATAGGAATCTATGATCATTTTAAGAGGAAATTAAACCACTATACCACTTTTAATCATTGTCATCGTCATTGTCATTATCATCGTCTCACACTCATATATGAATTTCTTACTGAAAAAATATGGTTTCGGCCCATGTTTTTGTAGATGGATAGAAGTATTGTACACAAATGTAGTTAGCTGTGTCATGAATGGGGGCTTTTCCACAGGCTATTTTGAAATAGGCACGGGAGTAAGACAAGGAGATCCCTTAAGTCCATATTTATTTTTGCTAATCATAGAAACATTAGCAGTGGCTATTCGCAATGAACAAAAATTAAAAGGTATTTTGATAGGCAATACACAGACGAAGATAGTAATGTATGCGGACGACTGTTCAATTTTTTTGAAAGACACAGAAGACATGAAAATCTTAGAAAAATTATTAGATTCCTTCTCTCAGGTATCTGGATTAAAAATTAATAGGGACAAAACACAAATTATGAAGCTTGGTTCTTCTGGTCACAGTAATGAAAATTTGACCGGTATAACATTGGGTAAGATGGTTTCTCTGGTAAAAGTTCTTGGAATATACTTTTCTTTGGATATCAATGTTAAAGAAGAAATGAATTATAAGGAAATACTGAGCAAAATAAAAAAGATTGTTAGGGTGGTGGAAGCAACGGGATTTAACACTTTTTGGGAAAATTCAATTCGTTAAAGTTTTTGCAATCTCTAAATTACTATATGTGTCTTCTATAATTTCGGTACCACCAAGTGTTTTCAAGGAAGTTGAAACGATATGTTTTAATTTTATATGGAATGGACATGATAAGATAAAAAGGAATATTTTATATTTGAACTATTATAAAGGGGGTTTGAAAATGTTGAATTTCAAGTACATGATCTATGCACAGCGTGTAGTGTGGATTAAGAAACTACTTGGTGGAAATAATGACATGAAATGGAAACAATTTTTTGAATATATATTCAGAACGGTAGGAGGAAAGTTAATATTTCTTTGCAATTATAATCCCAAAACAATCAATATTAAGGCACCCAATATATACTTGGATTTTTTGAACATCTGGAATTATCTAAAGGAGAAGGAATAAATTGTAAAAGAAACACATAATGAAAAACAAATTTTCTTCAACAATACTTTTATTGAAGGTAGGATAATTCCTTTTAATGCAAAATTATTTCATGTGAACATTTTTCAAGTTAAACATTTGACGGACGCAGAAGGTGATATGAGATCAGGGGACTATTTCATAAGGAAAGGTCTTAATGTAGACGATCTGTTTTTTCTTAATGATCTATACACCAAATTGCCAGCTGCCTGGAAGACTAAGAGAATTCGCAGAGGGAGAAATGATACTCTAAATGACACTGTTGATCTTGCCAACATTAACTTTATCATTAACAAAACAGTGTATTCTTTTGAGTCTGTCTCTTCCAAAATGCTCTATAACATTTTTATTGCTATAATACATGATGCATTTGCTTTTAAACATCCAGAGGTAATAGCTTTAAATCTAGATAAGTCGGAAACTACAACATGTTTCTCAATCCCCAGATTTTCCACTCTAGATGGGAAGTTAAGGGAATTTCAGTATAAACTTTTACATAACATCATATTTTGTAATGATAAATTGTATCTTTTTGGATTAACACA